AGATCTGTTAGGTGAGTGGAGATGGGCTGAAGTAACAGGTTAGAATCAAGTTGATCTTGGTACCAGCCACTGGACACCTAATAGTTTGAAATATTATAGAGTATCTTTTCTCCGGTTTTCCTTCTTGCTTTCTCTATTCTGCTCTAAATTGTCTGAGGGTTCATTGTTCATTGTTTTGCTCAATAAAACAGCAGAGATGGTCTCATGTTGCAGAGAATAGCAGAGACAAGTCGCAGCTTTCAGGCAGAGCTTGTCTTTGAAGGTTGCTTGATCTAGTTCAGTAGGGGAAGCTCTAGTTTGTCTGCTTCAAAACCTCTATGCAATGGAGTCCAGAAACAGAGGACACAGCACATTTTAACTTGAAAACAACCACTGTTGAAATATTATTTCTTAAGATCATAAAAGTACAATTAAAAGCAAATAAGAGTCATTACACAGTACCAGCTTGCGCCGTTCTTAGCTCACACTTGGCCGTCTCAAAGTTCAAATATAATGCAGGTGACAGTCATGTCTCTTATGTCATCTGGAGGTTCTCCATCAAGTATAAATGCTTTGTTCTGGTTCCCAGAATTAAACACACTGTCCTACTTCTAGGGGGCTGAGAACAATACTGATCTCCATGCATTGGTGTCCTTGCATGTGGAGGTTTGTCATCTCACTGGGAACATTTCTAGATATTTGCTTTCTTTTTGCCTTCAGAGGTGATGATTGTGACCAGTATCACTATTTCCTCTTTATTTTTATGGATGCCATGATGTCTTGGCCTTTCCCCTTTAGTCTCTGTTTCTGGGTTGATCTGTTGTATCTTGCAGTTGCCCTCAGCTGCATACTGTCCTTCTTACCATGTTGGTCCAATGCTGATATCTGTGGACTACTGTAGAAAATCTGTAAATGGAAGCTTCCTAATTGTGCACCTATGCATTTAGCTTGTCTTCTAGATGGTGCCATCACTTTACTGCCTTTTTTTCATGATGTATGACCATCCTTTATACTGCTGTGTGATGTGTAGCTTCAGACCATTTGTGGAGAAACTCTCATCCTGTTGACTTGGGCAGTACTTTATTCTAGTCCAAGCTTAGTTCCCTTCCTTGGTACGCTTCAGCTGATGCATCAACAGACTTGAAGAAAAAGGTCATGGAGAAGTAAATTTTCTGTTTCTAAAACTCCTTTTCTTGTGTTCAATTCTTAAATTAAGAGCTTCCCCAAAGCCAGTGTTTCTGAATGGCATCTTTGTGTACACTGATGTGTTATGGTACTATTTGCTAGAAATACTGCTAGCTAGAAGCTAGAGTGTACGTCCTGTTGACAGATACATTGTCTTCATGCAGGTTGCACAGGCAGTTCTTGGGTCAGGTTCTGATACCAGTCCTAGTGTGGTGATGTCTGTGGGGTGCGAGAAGCCTTTCACTGTTCTGTCAGTGGTAGTAGTAGTGGCCTTCCTGTTGCTATCCTTTAAAGCCTCTCAAACTTGGAACAGTTGTCTTGTAATTGTGGAAAGTGTTCCTTGTGAAAGATCCCACAGCAGTGGTCATTTGGGTTCCTGAGAGTGACCAGTGAATACAATAACTGGTCTCTGGGGATTAATGCTCCTGAAAGCAAGTTCAAGGAAATGTCAGTGTAATGACTTTGGTTCTGGAGAAACTGTACCTCATCTCAGCTAGAATGTCGAAAAGTGCTTTGCTTGGTTTTGGCAGATGAAGACAAAGAACTGCTCTATCAGTGTCATTGGAAAGAATGTGCACAGACACAAGCTCTTCGGCTTGCTTTTCTCAGGGTATGACTTCAGAGATGGACTGAGTGCAGCAACTGAGGCTGGAGCAAGCCATTGCCACCTGTGGCAACATTGTGAGAAGCACTTTCTGGGAATTGTTAATCTTTTCTTGTAACTTTGAAGATTTGTTATTTGTGTTTTTGTTTTTAATGGTAATTCTACTTCTTGCTTTATAGGGAGTAAATCTAACAGAGTTTGTATGTGCCAAGTGTCCTATCATACCTCTGTGTGTTTTGCAGCACCTTTTAGCTATCTGATCTTACAGGATGGCTTTTTTCCTCAGTATAATGCAAAACCAATGAGGTGGGACTTATTTTATAGGGATTATATGCTTATTTTTGATTTAGTTTTCCCCTTTTACTATGAAAATAATATTATAAAAACCTTCAAGGCATTTAACTTTTTTTTTACGATAAGGCAATTAAACATCCTAAATGGAAGTAAAAATGGGATTAAGTGGATAGTGCAAAATTACAGCTCACATTGAAACAAATACATAATAATCCAAACTAGCCGTCTCTTAGCTTTTTACTGTGGAACCTCATTAAGGTGGGTAAGGTTTTACTAATGTTACTGAATATGGAATGCGAGTTAAATTGAGTTTATGGTACAGTTTAGATTAATGAATTGAGTTTGGAGTTGATCTCTTTTTAGGACTACAGCCAGCATGACAAATCTTCAGCCTGTTACTGGAGGTGCAGCATTTCTCCTTGTGTTCCACTCTCTCAGTCTTCCTATTCAGTTCCAAGAATATGGCAGGATTAAATGACTGTTTTGCTTTCTGTAAGGGTGTTTAATTGAAAAGCCGCCTGCTGACAGCTCTTAGAGGATGTGAGATGGTAAAACCTTTCTGGAGTACTCCATAATGGAAGATCCAAATCAGTGGGTTTCTCAGTGAAAAATTTCTTCCTGTTCTGAATGCAGCACGCACTTAAGCTACTATCCAGAGAAGTTCTATGTCCTGCATTCTTCAGTGACATCCACTGCTTCATTAAAACTGTGGACACTCTAGCCCTGGTCTCTTTAGGATAGTCCCTGACTCCTGCAGGAAAGACATTTTACAACTGTATACATGGAGTACCTTTCTCAGTACTTATTAAGAAGAGTAATACGTAATGCTAAGTTGCTTCAAGGCAGACTGCTTTCTGACTGTGACATGACCTACTGTAATTATATAGACACTAACTCAGTCTAGATTTCCCTTACCTGCTATTACTTCTTTCTTGGCACAAGTGCATCTTACTGCTGACTTCAGCAGTGACTGTGATGTAGCACTAGCGACAGTGTTTGTTCTATTTGCAGTGAAAATAGTACAGCAAGCTCCAGTTCAACTCATGTGGTGCGTATTGCCTCGTTGATTTGCTAATGATTCTGGTTTGCCTAGTACATATTATTAAAATGGAACTGATCACCAAAGTAATATTTCTCTAATAATAACTTCACTGTGCTTTGTGTTTTTTGTGTGTTTGTTTTCTTTTCTTACATGTAGCATTAGGATAGCTTGTAGATTCCTGCAGATTTGCAGAAATCATTGTCATGCGTACTTCTGTTTGTACAACGAAAAAAGCCTGAAAGCTCTTTTAAGACTTTCTAATCTCCCAGTAATTTCAAGTAGTCTCTCTGCGTGTACTCTAAGTTTGATTAATCCCTCGCAAAGATGAATGATAAGAATTGAAAATAATATTTTAGTTGCAATTTCATTCGTGCCTTGCATGGGAGCACTAATGTTGCCCTACCCAGACTAGATGCATTTTGTGTATGTGTACAGATTCCTAGGATTGTTGGAATAAGTCACGAATTTGCTTTTTCATTTGTTTAGTGTTTGGATTTTTTTATGCTTGTTCCTCCTTTGCAGAGAGATGACTTTCTGAAGCTTCAAGTTTTCTGTTTGTTTTGCATTGTTGAGTTACTACAGTTCTGTGAATGGAGATTAACGATACATTTTGATAATTAATTTGGAAAGCACACTGTCTTGATAAGGTTTCTTAGAAATATCAAACCAAATGAGAATTTCTGTTGAATGGAGTAAGGTAATTTCAGCATCTCCTATCAAAGAGGGTATCGCTTTTGGTTAGGAGATCTTTGTACTTGAAATCGGTGGTGCTGCTACTGAAAGCTTCTTGCACATCTTTCCTAAGCCTTCCCCCCCCTTCTTTTACTAGCCTTTAGACATATAGTTTGGCTTGAAGTTGCTCTTGAGAGGCATTCTTTTAGCAGCCATGCCAGCTTATGCAGCTTCTGCTGCTTGATGCTGCATTCTTAATTGTGCTAGTAAAACTGTTTGTGCAGCTGCTCATTGAAGTGGATGAGGGAGCTGAACTTGGTTAAGAATAATCAAACTTTGTTACTTTTTTGCCTTGCTGCTTTTACGTGGATCATTTCAATGAGCAGCTTTGCTGAATCGCCTGCGGTCATATTGATAACAATGGATGGGTGGTATTAAGACAGGAATGAAGATGGAAAAAATGGGAATGCTTAAGGCTTTCTTTTATCAGCTTATAAAAAGAAAAAAACCCCACAAAACCAACAACAAACCAACCCAACCCACCAACAACAGTTCCTTTTTCAAATAGGGCTCTTTACTTCCCTGCTTCGAAAAATGTTAGACAAAAAAAATACTCAAAAGTGGTTTAGATTTGTATAAATGTAGAACCCCCTCCTCCCAAACTCCCTGACAAATGAAACAACTTTGTAGCAGCTTAGATTTTTCCAGATTTGTTGGTTATGTAGATTCAAGGTCTTTCCCACTCGATAGTAGTGGAGATTGTTTACAGGTTTACCAATCCTGTATTAAATGCATGAGTAGTTATTGGAGCTTTACTTAAGTCATCCTAAGCACCATATAATCCAGGAACATTAGAGTTTTTGGGGTGCTAGGGCTAAAGGATGAACTGATTGCTGTTTGTAACTATGCAATTAGAGATTACAGACAAGGTGGAACTAGACTCTTTCAAAGGTGCCCCATGGTAGCATTAAAGGTGGTGTATACAAGCTGGATAGGCTTAAGTTATTGTTCTGTGATTTGTATACATCCGGGAACACCATTGTCAGTGAGAAGATTGCTCTCCCTTGCTTTTCAAGTTGAAAGAATACAGTATGCAATTGGAATGTCCTTTTAGTGGTGCTTATTTCATTCATCTGTATGTTTTTACTGAATCTGTAGTAATATGTCAGAAGGTTCTTTCAGTGTACTACATACCTGACATGAATTTTTTTTTTTCCCCTGCAGCAAATTTGACAGGCCATGCAGAGAAAGTTGGCATTGAAAACTTTGAACTCCTTAAAGTTCTTGGAACAGGGGGTAAGATACACTGTTTTTCTAAGTTAATTGTTGGAAGCATTACTTTTAAGTATAGTTTTGTTTTCTAGCTGAGGTTTTGGTAATTGGAACATTCTTGAGGAATATAGATCACTTGCATAGCATAATTTGCATAGCAAAATTAGTATTGCATAGAATAATTTTCTTCACTTTTTTTTCTCACAAATTATGCAAAATTTAAGGTCATGTTCTAGCTTACAGCACTTTAGAAGATGAACTTTTTTCAAAAAAATGAGAAACAAATAGTCACAAATCAAGCTGTTTAATACAGTTCATGAAAAATCTGATCTAAGTTAAGGCACGGCCTTGATAGTTTCATTAAATTTTTAGACTATGTCTTAATGAATTTCTGAAAATAAACCAGTAGTGTTAGTACATAATTGAATAGGATACTCCACTCTGTAACTGTATGTTTTAGAGTTGGCATTGGCTCTAGTAGTTGGTTTTTCTGTCCTATTTGAATCCCGGTAGTTTTTAATGTGGAAACTGTTCACTCTCTTATTGTGGATTTCAGCGCAATGTTGGAGATTTGTAGGATGTTGTAGGCTTGCTGACTGTAACCAACAAAAAAAAAGCTTTGTTGCCCCTTTTTTTAAAGGGACACTCAGAGCGGCCACTACACAGACCGAAAATAATGGCTTTAATTCTTCTTAGTGCGTTTACGTTTTTTCTTTTTTTGTCAGTATTAGATGCAGTGTTGAGTAGATTGGGATAATCATGAAGGTGGACTATCATCAAGGTCTGTAGAAGTTATAAGTTAGTTATGATATACTAAATTTTGGGTGTTATCAACCATTAACAGCTAGCAGTGAGGCTATAATTGCACAAGCTGCTACATCAGTGAGAAGAGGAAAGGTTTTTGATTCTTACATTTAGGTGTCATGCAGATTCTTTTGTAAATTCATTAAGCTGTTAAATCACCTGAGAGTATATTTTTCTGTTTCTGCAGGAATTTTTTTTTTAAATTTAAATTTAACAGGCTTAACAATTCAACCCTTGCTGTTCAGTAGTTAGTGGTAGAGGCAAGGAAGCTTTAATATTCATAGATATATGTTGCATATTCATAGTAGAAGCAGCTATGCTGTTTTGAAGTGGTCAGTATTGGTCTGAGTGGGGTTGTCAAAAATGAAATTATTTATAACTATGCTTTTATGTGAGGATGCCTTTTTCTCTTGCTGATGGAAACATTGGCTGGATTTTTAATTATATGTATGTGTGTATAAGAAAACCAGTCCCATGCCTGAATTTTTTTCTTTTTTCCTTACCATTGCCATTAGTCTGAGATCACCTTAATATTATAACTATTGCATTTGAAATGCAAATTAAGTTTTGGTGGTTCCCTAAGTGTCAGTCTTCAAGTTCAGACAAGTAATAGCCTGACCTTCTCCTACTGTCTGTAGGCAATACCTTTGAAATACCCCTTTTACTGCTGTTAAACTGTTGCCTGTCATTCATTTCTACCTTCCATGCCCTCCTTCGTGAACAGATTAGCCAAATTTCTCTTTGTGTTGCCCCAAAAGTGGGATCGTATACCTGGTGCGCAACACGCCGATATACACGTGGAGTAGAGGTATTTTATTTGTAGCATATTTGCACAGATATGGGTTCTAGGTGGTATTCCAGAAAGCTAGCACACCACTCGGAGGAATCACCATGTATTTATCCCATTACATGATTAGCAAACACAATAGAGAACCCATCCAAGTTTACGTTCATTGGCTAGTAATTACCACATTGCTTATTATTGGTTACACATACTCAAACTGGCGCACATGCTCCTAGGAAGAGTGGAGGGTAATTTACATAGTGCCTCAGTTGAGTTGGTGGTCACGATCTCCCCCTGCCACCTTTACCTTTACCGTAGTTACTGTGGATTCTGCTGACCTCATGGCAGGTACATTTTTCAAGAGTACAGAAACAGCTAAGTCTTCACGGTTTACTGCTTAAGTACAAATACTTAATCTTCTTGACCACCAGATCCAGGTTCATTCATCTTTTTGATTATGTTAAATCCTACCAACCTGCCCACTAGAATCTTCCATTTGCCTCAGTTGGCGTGGGATACTCTTAATCATAGCAGGTAGTTCTTAGGCTCATAGTGCAAAGCTATTCTATTCACTTGGGTTAACAGGGTAATTTTCGAGTGATGCCTTTCAGAAAAAGCTACTTCAATGGGTTGACAATGGGACTGTCAGTGTGTGTATGTGTGAAGAGGAAGAAAAAGCTGAGGAAGCATGCCTGTCTGTCTTCATCCTGCTCTAGTAGTCACATTGCTCCAGAAACATCTTCTGTCTTAGCAGACTTGAAACTATTTCAAGAACTGACTACAAGATTCCTGCAAACTTGAGGAATCCAAGGTCACCTTGGGTATCCTGGAATGGCATTTGTAGGAAGAATAGTTGGGGTTTTTTTTGTTAAGGAAATGCTAGTGGCACTTTTAAAATATATAGTTTCAATCACAGCCTGAGATTTTTTGTTTGGGAATCTAGACCATCAGGACAGTCAAGAAGCTTTGTTCAATCTTAAGTGTATCACAGCTAAGACTAGTGCACTAGGTGTGTCAGAAGTTGTTGCTTGCTGGACGGCATTAAATGCCACTGACCTGATCAGAATGGAGCTAGTTCTGTTTTTGGGAAGTGATCTGTGAATTGTCAGTGTTTGCAATAACATGGAATTGCTGAAAATAGGACTGGAATGGACTTGAAGAGGTCTTCTAGTTGCTTGGCCCTAGACACAGTCAGTTATACCTGCATCATCCCTGACAATGACTTGTTCTTAAAAGCCTCCTAGATGTTCTTGCTGAGGATGTTTAATTTCCTGGCTTGACAAGCATTCTGGGGATTGCAATAAGCAAAAATCCCGTCTCATTCTTGCAAGGGGTTTCTGAAAGCACATTGTTTCACAGTAAGATCTACCTGAGTTAAGTTTCTTCTGTAAATGTCATCCAACAAAATTTTGATAGAGCTCTGAACACCATCTTCACTTTAAGTGTGTTTCTAATTGTTATGGTCAGAAGACTTGCTGTGTTCTTTTCATTGACTGGACAGAGCAGAACAGAAACTGAAGCAAGATATTGGCCATTTGGCTAAGATGATCCTGAAATGTTCTATTGTGCAATGAATTTTTGTATTGGGCCTACTGTTACAGAACCACGGAGAACTTGCACAAATTGACTCTGTTGTTAATTTAATACCATACAAACCTCTTTGTGAAAAACTTATTTTTTAGGAAGTTCTAGAACTACCTTGTCAATAACAAGAATTACTGTGTAAGCGTTCCATCTTAAGTATGGAAAACAAATGCTGCAGACTTTGCTGCTGGATGTGAAAAGTCTGGGGCTATATGTTCAGTTACTTAGCTATCTTACTGAATGTATGCTTTCCCAGTGCAATGTACCTTTCTTTTTTTCCCCACAACTTCCATAGCAGAGAGATTATTTTTCAAAAACTTTATAAGGCTCTAGCCACCTGCTTGCATGCAAGCTTTGCTATGAGATCTTAAGCATGTTGTGTCATGAGTCGTAGGGTCCTGTTTAAGCCTGCAACTTCTTGTTCTCATACTTAAATTGAGATTGGAGGAGTGAGTGTGACTACTTGGACTTCTCAGTTCTTTGTGCCACAATATATGTTTACTTGGGGAATGAGAAGAAGCATAAAGATAACTGTACATAACCACAGTAACAGAAGTCAGAAATATTGGAATAGCAGGCTCTTATTGCAGACTTGTCTTAAATGATGCTGTACAAGAGTAAGGCCTTATTTAGGACTTGTACTCTTTTGTACAAAACTACTTGTCTGCATTTCAGTTTTCATCTTTAGGTTTGCTCTCACAAAAAATAAGGAAAAAGTTCAGAAGATATTTGCATGCCTTCTGTATTGATAAGTAAGAGTTTGAATTGTCTTGTTCTGTAGTTTTGATTTGACTAGAATAAGAAAGGAGGATATTTTCTTCAGTGTATAACTAATTTTTATTTATGTATAGTTGGCAATCTGATTATGGTGAAGCTAAATGCCATCCCTTTGAACAGTAACTTCCTGTTGGCTACATTGCAAGTTGCAGGTGCTTATTAAATGCCTTTCACTTTTCAGCCAGGAAAAAGGAAGTAACTTCATTATTTCAGAAATTTGATGGATTTCAAATGGGGCGTATGTGTGTATAGGAGGGTTGTTTGGTGGTTTGTTTCTTTATTTTTTTTAAACTTTGTTTTTAATCGGGGCCTAGGGGGAAGGCAGGGTGATTCCTGGAACCCAGAGACCCCTCCAAACAGCCGTTGTATTTCCATTAGTGACTTGCCCCCAAATTATGGCTGAGGTAATGAGAGAACTGTGGGTTTTTTTGTTTTGGGGTGTTAAGATTTTCTGAAAATTGAGAACTTCTCTGTTCTTTTATACTAGTAAATTCTATGAAATTGAAGATGGGGCTGGGAGTTGAGGTCATTTTAGACAACTTGATTCACAGAGACAAAAGGGATACTATTGCTTTTTTGGGAGCAGTTTAAAGAAAAATAAGGAAGGGGGCATCTGATGGCTTCTGTTTACATGTTGCTGTATATTTTTAGGCAGCAGCTATCTTTACTCTGACAGTAAAAGCTTTATCCTGGTGTGAGCTTTTGGGTATTACTAATATTACTGTAATATAGCTAATGCTAAATAAAAGCTGTGATGCGGTTTAAAAGTTCTTCACTGTGGAGTTATGCAGCACACGAAGTGTTTTCAAACTGATACTTAAATGATCTACAGTAGTGCAAGGCAGAATATATTGGAACTTCTCAGTCATATTAAGTGATGACTGTAGATGCTATTTTAACTAATTACAGTAGTTTAAATATAGTCTGCTATGAAGCAACTGGAATAACTAAAGATGATACCCAAAATATGTTAAATTAAATGATACCTTGCTTAAGTGTATGTAATTGTGGTAGTTTCATATAGACTTGGTGTTGTTTTTTCAGGTAACAGCAGTGAAGGTTTACTAAAATCTTC